ACCCCAACCCTTTCCACCGTGCTGCAATTCAAATCTCCATCCCAAGAGCAAACACTACAATTATTCTGTCACACGTTAGTAACATGTTATCTCCGAAGGGTTATGTCTGCCTGGCTGCTTTGTGTAGGCCAGTTCTTCTTTCACAGAGTTTCATCTGGAATAAACCGTTACAGTACCCTCTGCTTAATGGTTGCTGTTGCTTCCTGCTTGTTCAGAGTCTGCAAAGTTTTTTATAGAGACTGATTACGTTGCATACTCCCTATTCCCAATATACCTTCCAGGTGTATTTGGGAAGCTTTTTGCGACTACAAGGGTTATGCGTGTTATGGGACGGGTTGTTTGGAGTAATCTTAACCTCAAAACCCTTTTTCAATGGTATCACTCCACTGCTCTGTGGAGGACATCTATCGTTCTTAGAGGAAGAGATTTAGACAGATTCCGGTTAGCGATAAGACTGGCATACATATTCGTTTGCTTTTCTCAGTCACAATTTCTTGCAGGGCAGTTCTGTGATTCTCCTTTTTTCTTTTCTGAGGGTGGTAACTGTCTTCCTGGCTGCTGAGTGTAGGCCAGTACTTCATCACAGTCTACCCTCGGGAGCACCCACAGCTCTGCTCAATGCGTGCACCTGCAACCTTGACAATGCGACTTTGAAACCTTAAGTTCTTCCACATGTGAGGTGCCCTTTCCCACCTGTCTTTAAATTTTCCATTTGTCTACCTGGTTGTCTGCTGAGTGTTGGTGGGACATTAAGGTCTATAGTTTTTAGTGCGAAGGACTCGAATGCTTTGTTGCTCGTGTTCCTTCTGATAGCGATGGAAGCAGTTCTGTCCTTGGGGTATTTCTAACTTGCCCTTGCTTTCACCTGGAAACCCACTGCTACTGTTTACCGTACAGACTTAGGGAGTGGGAGGACAGAAATGAGGCTACAGCTATATCATGAAAAGTAATCTCATTAGAAAACTACCTCTATAAAAACTACCTCATAAAACAACAACCTCATAAAACAACTACCTCATTATAATTGCTTTTAAAAAAAACCTTTATCAAAACTTTAAAAAAACGGGGGGGGGGGATCTGCAGGGAGCAGCTGCAGCATTTATTCTGCACTCTTTACAGCGTTATTATCCTGCTATCATCTTCATTCCAATCACTCAACCTGCCTACTTACTCACCACAACCCATTACACCGCATAGCAATGAAAATTGCCATCCCAAGAGCTCACACTGCAGTAACTCTTGCACCCTTCCCCACCACCCTGGTCCTGGAACTCCTAACTGTCAGATGACCATCCATAACAAACTTCCTTCTTAATCTCCTTTGCCTCCGGGGAGCTACTGCTTGATTACCCGGATAATATGGCTAGGTTGGATCTTATGATTATGAACGGGCAGAAGTCCATAAAAAAGATGGCGGATACTGCTTCGATTTAGAAAAAACACTTCCGGGTTTGAAAAAAAATATCGATATCGTTCTGTTATTAAAAAAAAACGATTTACAAAATTATCGAACAAAACCGCCCAGCCAGATAATTTGCCCATAATTTAATATTCATAGGTGTTTCAAAGTGCAATTTATGATACTTTCTTCTTTTTATTTACAGTATATTCTGGCATATAAGACTACTTTTTAACCCAAGAAAATCTTCTCAAAAATCAGGGGTCGTCTTATACGTGGGTGTAGTTTTATGCATGGGAGTCGTCTTAACTCTATATTTTAACTGGAAAAGTTGGGGGTCGTCTTATACACCCAGTCATCTTATATGCCGGAATATACGGGTAATTTACTTTCTGCATTTTTAAAAATTAATTTGTAATTTTTAACATTATAACTTGTTTAATATATATTATAAATAAATAATTTATATTTTGTATATTGTTATGTTAAAATATGATAATTACAATTTTTTATGTATTATATTTTATTACAATCTTAAGTAATTTAATTTCAATTTCTTTCCTTGCTTCTTGTTTAGCAACTGTATTTTATTATAATTTTTTATTTAATTTTTTATTCTATTTGATTTATATTCTATTTGATTATTTTATTATTATTATTATTGTTTATGTTTAACTAGTTATGGTTATTAGATTATTCTATTAAGATATGTTTTTTAATTATTACATTTTTTTTAAGTACCAAAGATATAACACCCATGGATGATAAGAGAAAATATATGGGGGAAGGGGGGAGGGTAAGGGAGAAAAAAAAAAAGGTAAAAATCATAAATCCAAAAAAAAAAATTGACTCCCTTCTAAATCAGCTCATGCAATATCTTTCATTTTGTAATGTATATGAAAAAAAAACAGAAAATGAGTTCCATGTCCCATCTAAATGTCCATTATGAAGCTGTATATGTTGTAAATGTTTTTGTTTGCATGGTTTCTTGTTTTGCATTGCGCTAATGCGGGCGCCATCTTAACAAATCGATTCGTTATTAACGTTTTACGAATAACGAAATTTCGTAAATGCTTTGCGCATGCGCTAACGCGGGCGCCATCCTAATGAATCGATTCGTTATTATTGTTTTACGAATAACGAAATTTCGTAAATGCTTTGCACATGCGCTAACGCGGGCGCCATCTTAACGAATCGATTCGTTATTGGCGTGAACTCCAACAATAACGAAATTTCGTAAACGCTTTGCGCATGCGCTAACGCGGGCGCCATCTTCACGAATCGATTCGTTGTTCCCGACGAAAATTACGAAATTTCGTAAACGCTTTGCGCATGCGCTAACGCGGGCGTCATCTTTACGAATCGATTCGTAAATATTTACGAAATTTCGTAAATATCAAACTTTTTAAAATGGAAATTTCGGATTTATTTTAAATCACGAAACGCGGAAACCCCCCCCCCCCCAAAAAAACAAATCGATTTTAGAAACAAATTTTTCCGTTGTTACCCAGGCCTATGCATTCTAAGTGCTGCTGTGGGAAGAATCTGTTGTTGCTTTTGCTTGCGTTTGCTCACCAAGTTCAAAAACTTAATACAGCACCATTCTACATAAAGTAACAATACCAACACAATGGAATCTATCCTGACTGTTTCAAAATAACTGCCACATAATATCCACAATTGTTTTTCTATAATTTAGACACTTGTGATGCAATACTTTCAGTACATACTTGTTCAAATCTCTCTTCAGATTTCAGCAGTGGGGTTTCCATTTTCAGCTGTGGTTGAGAAGTATCACATTTCTCCCTTGGACTCTTAGTTTGGTCATCTGTAGACAGGCCAGTGTTCACAACAGGTGACAGTACAGCAGTATGCGAAGTCTGCTTCATTTCATTTGGTTGGATTACTGCTTCACCATAATAAAGTCAAGACAAAGATTTCAGTCATGATTTTATGCTTTTCTATCTCCCTAGTCAGGCAACACTGGAAGTTTCGTATTCATTATCAGCACCTCCATCTGAGAAGCAGAAACTTGGTATATAGCACCTGTCAATTTATTTATTGCTCAGTGACTCTTTCATCAACCAAACTGCATGGGAATTAGAGTAAGAACCAGTATTGTGTAACTAAGTTATTTTTTTAAAATAGCATACCCCAAGAAAGGAAGTTATTTTTTTTTCCTAAGTATGAAACATCATTTCCCCTGAATATAGTTTATTCCGTGAAGGGCCACCCAAGACGGGACGGTCGTGGCAGAGACGTCAGACCAAGCGTGATCCCTGGGGAAGGCAACGGCAAACCACCCCAGTATCCTTGCCAAGAAAACTAAATGGACCAGTACAACCAGAGATATGTCGATATGCCATTGGAAGATGGGACTCCCAGGTCGGAAGATGGCCAAAATGCTACTGGGGAGGAGCAGAGGATAAGTTCAACTAGCCCCAGATGTGATGATCAAAGCCGAAAGGAAGGCTAGCGGCCGACGGTACTGGAGGTGAACGACGAATCCGATGCTCTAAAGATCAACACACCATAGGAACCTGGAATGTAAGATCTATGAGCCAGGGCAAATTGGATGTTGTTATTGGTGAGATGTCAAGACTAAAGATAGACATTCTGGGGGTCAGCGAACTGAAATGGACTGGAATGGGCCACTTCACATCAGATGACCACCAGATCTACTACTGCGGACAAGAGGAACAGCGAAGAAATGGAGTAGCCTTCATAATTAATAAGAAATTCGCTAAAGCAGTGCTTGGATACAACCCAAAAAATGACAGAATGATCTCAATTCGAGTGCAAGGAAAGCCTTTCAACATCACAGTGATCCAAATATACGCCCCAACCACAGCTGCTGAAGAAGCAGAAGTAGATCAGTTCTATGAGGATCTGCAGGACCTACTGGATAACACACCAAAAAGAGACATTATTTTCATTACAGGAGACTGGAATGCCAAGGTGGGAAGTCAAATGACAACTGGGATCAGAGGCAAGCATGGTCTGGGAGAACAAAATGAAGCGGGACGCAGGCTGATAGAATTTTGCCAGGAAAACTCGCTGTGTATAACAAACTCTCTTCCAACAACCTAAAAGACGGCTTTATACATGGACTTCACCAGATGGTCAGCACCGAAATCAGATTGACTACATCCTTTGCAGCCAAAGGTGGCGGACATCCATCCAGTCGGTGAAAACAAGACCTGGGGCTGACTGTAGCTCAGATCACGAACTTCTTATTGCTCAATTTAGAATAAAACTAAAGAGACCAGGGAAAATACACAGACCAGTTAGATATGATCTCACTAACATTCCTAGCGAATATACAGTGGAAGTGAAGAACAGATTTGAAGGACTAGATTTAGTAAACAGAGTCCCAGAAGAACTATGGACAGAAGTCCGAGACATTGTTCAGGAGGCGGCAACAAAGTACGTCCCAAAGAAAAAGAAAACGAAGAAGGCAAAATGGTTGTCTGTTGAGACACTGGAAGTAGCCCAAGAAAGGAGGAAAGCAAAAGGAAACAGTGATAAGGGGAGATATGCCCAGTTAAATGCGCAATTCCAGAGGTTAGCCAGAAGAGATAAGGAACTATTTTTAAATAAGCAATCCATGGAAGTGGAAGAAGACAACAGAATAGGAAGGACAAGAGACCTCTTCCAGAAAATTAGAAACATTGGAGGTAAATTTCAGGCAAAAATTGGTATGATAAGAAACAAAGATGGCAGGGACCTAACAGAAGCTGAAGAGATCAAGAGAAGGTGGCGAGACTATACAGAAGATCTGTATAGGAAGGATAATAATATCGAGGATAGTTTTGACGGTGTGGTGAATGAATTAGAACCCGACATCCTGAGGAGTGAGGTTGAATGGGCCTTAAGAAGCATTGCTAACAACAAGGCAGCAGGAGACGACGGGATCCCAGCTGAACTGTTTAAAATCTTAAAAGAGGATGCTGTCAAGGTGATGCATGCCATATGCCAGCAAATATGGAAAACACAAGAATGGCCATCAGACTGGAAAAAAACAACTTATATCCCCATACCAAAAAAGGGAAATGCAAAAGACTGCTCAAACTTCCGTACAGTGGCCCTTATTTCTCATGCCAGTAAGGTAATGCTCAAGTTCCTGCAAGGAAGATCCAACCAGTCCATCTCCAGGAAATAAAGCCCGGCTGCTCACTGGAAGGAAGGATAATAGAGACAAAGTTGAAGTACTTTGGCCACATCATGAGGAGACAGGAAAGCCTAGAGAAGACAATTATGCTGGGGAAAGTGGAAGGCAAAAGGAAGAGGGCCGACCAAGGGCAAGATGGATGGATGGCATCCTTGAAGTGACTGGACTGACCTTGAAGGAGCTGGGGGTGGTGACGGCCGACAGGGAGTTCTGGCGTGGGCTGGTCCATGAGGTCACGAAGAGTCGGAGGCGACTGAACGAATGAACAACAACATAGTTGATTCTAGGTATACATCGGGATTTGGTTCCACGGTCCACCTGTGGATACCAAAATGTGTGGATGGCCATGTCCCATTGTATAGAAGAGTATAGTAAAATGATGCCCCTTATATAAAATCACAAAAATCAAGGTTTGCTTTTGGATTAAATAATAATAATTCAAGCTATGGAATCATGGGTGTAGAATTTGTGGACACACAGGATTTATTATACAAGCAGTCCCTGAGTTACAAACATCTAACTTACAAACGGCTAATAGTTGAGAACGGGGGTGAGACAACAGGAAGTGAAAGAAATCTATCTCTCAGAAGGGGAATTTACTCCTGAAAGAGTTGTCATGGTGAAAAAGCGTCTCTACTGAATCTTTATCACCAATCCTTTTTTCCACAACATGCCAAATTTCTCAAAATCCCAATTATCACAGGGGCAGAAAGTGAGAGGAAATCTTCTGAATAGGGGCACAGACAGAAAAACAAACACCACAGGGATGTTAACCCTTCCCTATGTTATCCAAAGATAATATATAGGCTGGAGTTACACTTAAAAATGTACCTGTTCAGACTTACATGCAAATTCAACTTAAGAACAAACTTACACAACTTACCTTGTTTGTAACTTGGGGACTGCCTATATTTACAAATGCTATAAAGCATCTGACAATAAACTTAGTGATAACAATAATACACTTATAGTACAATCTTACTGTATGTGTTTCTACTCCAATGTAAGCGCTATTATTTTCAGTGGGATTCAGCCATCTAAGTGCATCAATGGTTATTTCTTGAATTTTCCAAACTTTTAAAACCTGGAAATGTGTATAACCTTCTTTCCAGAAATAATCCAGCTACTGAAAAATAGGGCCAGCCCTTATACAAGTTACCATCTAGCTGAAAAATGGGCAAAACTGTTAACTGCAAAAAGGTGTGTGACCAACAATATATACAAAATATCTGTAACAAAACAAATTATTTAAATATGAATAGATCCTTTTTGCTTCACATGAACTAAAACTCCAACTCCCTTGCTACAAGATTTCTCCAAAAATGTCATTGCCTGAGAGAAAGAGATCAGAGATCATGGTTTCAAATAATTGATTCCACCAACACCCACCACTGCTCCTCATTAGGAAACAAATTGTTCAAGATTCCTTCTGCCCCGTGGCGGAATACCACTACAAGAGATACTTCTAGTTTGGCATGCTAATGTGTAACTGAAGAAATGGAATATAAGAGTCTTATTTGGTAAGCCTTTCTACAGTCTTAAGGAGTAAATAAAATAAGACTCAACGATGCTAAATGACAACCAGTCCCGTACTGTTCCCCAGATACCCAGTCTGAATATAAGCATATTCTATCTTACCCTTTAGCAACTTGTTCGTCTGTTTCTTGGGTGGGATGTCTTTTAGAGTCAATAGGGACCCTGTCTTTGTTTGAACAATTGTGATGATATCTGAAGCTGCATTCAGCATCTCGGACATGGAGTAGAACCCGTAACGACTCAACTCAAATTTCCGTCCAAAGTACTGAAAAAACATTTTGTCAAAGTTTGATAGTAGGACAGGGGAAAGCTTCAGCAGTTCCTTCAGTTCACTTTTTACAACAGCTGGCAGAGTGGGAGGAAGCCGCCCCCTCCGAGGCAAAATCAGAGGACTTTGAGGGTGCCAAAGTGGTCCAGTGTACCGCATGTAATTCATCCTTTGCTTGTAGAAAGGTGGCTTAGGTTTACTTTTCTGTCTTGCAACCAAGTTTGCAATCTGCTTTGTGCACTCATCTGCAATAACTAAAAGATAAAAGCTCATAATAGTTAGTTACATGTTATTAATGTTTATTTCCTCCAGTCTTCCCTTTCCATCTTTAAGAATGGTACTACTGAAAAACAAAATTAGTTAAGTATACTAGTAATATAGAAATTGTATCATTCAATAAATGTCCAGACTTAAGCACCTCCTTCCACTTCAATACCAAAATTACTGTAGTATGTAAAAAGACCCATTCATTTCTTTTATATCTCTGACATGAGATAAAGAAACATCTTATGACAGATCTCTGTGAGGTGCTCTGAAGGTTTATAGATGAGATGCAATAATATCTGCTTTTAGCACCAAAGTTAAATTCCTTGTCACTGTATATGCCTAAATTAATTCTCCAGACATTTTCTCCATCACACTCACCTCTGAGGATGACACTGCCATTCGCCATAGGGCATATTTTCACAACATCAGGCATATCCTTAATCAGTTCCATAACAGAGTGGTAGCCAAGGGAACGAAAAGGAAGCTGTTTTCCAACCAGATACCTATATTCTTGTTCTAAATGGAAAGGGGTGAGGCCTTCCTTTGCTGGTGTCAGCAGTGACCTCACTTCCTTCTTTAATGACCTCATCAGCTCTTCTTGATCGGACATGCTTACGCTGAGGAACACAAAAAGGCAGAAAAAAATATTGTATGGGTAATAAGATTTAAAGATATCCAGTAATTTTAGTTGCAGATGAAGAACTATTTGTTCCTGACTATGAGGTCCACAGAAGGAAGAAAAAGCATGTAAAGTGCATTAGTTCCAAGCCATCATCAACAAGCTTAAATAGTTTGGGAACACAAATAAATTTATTTTCCTTCTCATATTCCTTCTCCAGCATTGACAAATTGCAGCACTATTATACGCATCACTGGCAAAGGCTAAGCCAATGCAAACAAGGGCAATATACCTTTGGTTGGATTGTATCCATAAATACATTTAAGGTCACTATGACTGTACGCTGGTAGTGTCAGGATTCAGGGACTATGAAATATGTTTACGTTTCTGAAATGTAATGCTTCACTATCCCATATGTGATTGGGTTGACAAAAAAGGTGACTGAACAGAGATTTATAAAGGTTGTCTCCTGAGGTTTCATGCTGGAGGTCATTCTCAAAAGTGCCATTACTCTCCAAATCATTATATCTGAACTATATTAACTGCCCCTAGCTTGAAGTTACTGATTATCAAGTGCAGACTTTACCAGGAGCAAAAATATGATTACTAAAAAAAATGCAATAAACACACAATGCATACAAAGATAATGCAACAAAAGCATAAAGAAGTCTGCACTTTGGAGCTCTAGCATTCTCTTTCACAAACACTCAGTGACCTCTATGCACACATATACCCTGTGAACTACATTGAAGATGTACTGCCAAAGGCTTTCACAGTCGGAATCACTGAAGTTATGTGATTTCCGGAGCCCCCACCTTAGAAAGCTTTAAGAATCTCAAAACCTGAATCTTCTGTTGCGCTTTTGGTGGTTAAGAATATAATCTCAGATTGCTGCTACCCAGGCCTGCAGCGAGGGGGGGGGGGTTAGGGGTTCAACCCCCCCCCCGAAATGTTTCAGATTTTTTAAAAAACCTAGTTTACTCATGAATTTTAACTGGTTAACCAAATCCCCATGCTAAGTCTATGAGATGCAAAAAATTAAGAGTCCCTCCAGAACTGCAAGCACCATCTCAAGCAAATATTGACAATTTATTCACACTGTCATTACTTGCATCAATAGCCGATGTAGTGAAGCAACCAAGTTGGGTGTGTGTGTTGAATGCTCTCATTAAGGAGGCCAGACTTGGTGGAGGTGGTTGACAGGGGCGGAGCTGCAGGCTATTGAAGGCTGCTCTGCCCCCTGCTGTGCTCTTTGCTTCAGTGTGAGCTAGGAGGCAGGTTTCAAACCCCCCCCCCCCCAAATTTCAACCCCTCCCGAATTTTTTTTTCTGGCTACGGCCCTGCTGCCACCCCTCAACATTTGTCCCTAGAGTATACCTCCTCCTCTCCTGTACGAAGACCTTTCTTGACCTCATGTCTAAAGAGTTTCTCCTTCACAAATAATCTGCTCCATCCCTATCTCACCCCATGATTTTAGTTTTTTAGATTTAGTATTTTATTCTGTACATGCAGCCCGCTCACTATCACAATCACTGTGTCATGATTGATTTTAATTTTATATTGTTTGCTGTATATGTTTTATGTAATTTATTAAGTTATTGTGTGTGTTTTGATTTTAATTATTGTATTGTGTTGCTGGGCTTGGCCTCATGTAAGCTGCCCCGAGTCCCCATCGGGGAGATGGAGGCGGGGTATAAATAAAGTTTATTATTGGGTTGTTGTAGGTTTTTTCGGGCTATATAGCCATGTTCTAGAGGCATTCTCTCCTGACATTTTGCCTGCATCTATGGCAAGCATCCTCAGAGGTAGTGAGGTCTGTTGGAACTAGGAATGTGGGTTTATATATCTGTGGAATGACCAGGGTGGGGCAAAGAACTCTTGTCTGCTGGAGCTAGGTGTGAATGTTTCAACTGACCACCTTGATTAGCATTTGATGGCCTGGCAGTGCCTGGGGCAATCTTGTTGAGAGGTGATTAGATGTGCCTGATTGTTTCCTCTTTGTTGTTTTGCTGTTGTAATTTTAGAGTTTTTTTAATACTGGTAGCCAGATTTTGTTCATTTTCATGGTTTCCTCCTTTCTGTTGAAACTGTCCACATGCTTGTGGATTTCAATGGCTTCTCTGTGTAGTCTGACATGGTGGTTGTTAAGAGTGGTCCAGCATTTCTGTTTTTGAGTTATTTTGTTGTTTGTTGTTGCTGTTGTTTTTACTATTGTATTTGGGCTCGGCCTCTTGTAAGCTGCACCGAGTCCTTCAGGACATGGTAGCAGGGTACAAGTAAAGGTTTATTATTATTACTAGCTGTCCCCTGCCACGCGTTGCTGTAGCCCAGTCTGTTGATCTGGAAAATAAAGTAATGAGAAAGTGTTGGTTTCTAATATATGTAATGTCTTCCTGCTTGTGGGTAAACAGCATTTCTTGATGTTTCTTTGTCAGTGTTGATGTGGAGTGTCTGGTTTGCCTACTCTGGAACATGTAACATACGATTGTCCTTCTTCAGAGGTCCCTGTGTGTGTGTGAATCATATTTATATCTATGGCTGGATGGCTCTTTGTCAGGAGGGCTTTGATTACGTTTTCATACCCTGGTGAAGTGAGTTGGACTGGATGACTCCTTGTGTTGTGAGATGCTTTGTTGCCAAATTTGGTGTGATTTCGTTCATTGGTTCTTTTGTTTTTAAGGAACTCATTATGCACAGAGCATATATATTATTCTCAAATAATATGCTGTTTCCAGGTTGGTTCATCAGGTGCTCTGCTATGGCTGACTTCTCTGGTTGAAGTAGTCTGCAGTGCCTTTCATGTTCCTTGATTCGTGTTTGGGTGCTGCTGCGTTTGGTGGTCCCTATGAAGACTTATCCACAGCTGCATGGTGTACGGTCAGTGTGGGGGGAAAGGCCCAGGAAAGTGATAATAATAATAATGTGTTCTTGCCATACATCAAGGGAACCACTGACCGCATAGGAAAGCTGATCAGGAAACACAACATACAAACTATCTATAGACTCACCAAGAAAATTCAACAAATGCTACGTGGATCCTCTCGCTTCTGCAGGAGTCTGCAGTCAGTGGTTCCCAGCTGCATGGTATACGGTAGACTCCTGCAGAAGTGAGAGGATCCACGTAGCATTTGTTGAATTTTCTTGGTGGGTCTGTAGATTGTATGTTGTGTTTCCTGATCAGCTTTCCTATGCGGTCAGTGGTTCCCTTGATGTATGGCAAGAACACATTATTATTATCATCATTTTCCTTGGCCTTTCCCCCAACTCTTATGGTATAAAAGTGTGAAAATAAAAAAGAATAATAGTTGCCATGACTTAATGCGATGGTATCCTGAGAAGTCTCAAGGCCTTGTAAAACTACAAATCCCAGGACTCCATAGCATCCAGGAATGGAGGCTAAAGTGGTGCCAAACTGCATTGACTCAGGCCCCTTCCACGCAGCTCAATAAAATCCCCCATTTTCTGCTTTGAACTGGGTTATATGGCAGTGTGGACTCAAATACCTAATCCAGTTCAAAGCAGATATTGTGGGATTTTCTGCCTTGATATTCTGGGATATGTGGCTGTGTGGAAGGGCCTAGTCACAGTGTAGACTAAAGGCGCCCATCCACATTAAAAAAAAAAAACACGGTGCCATCTTATCCCTACCTAAGGAAGCGTCTTTTAAACACAACGGGGCTCTCTTGGGAAGGAGATAGGTCTCTGTGTGCACCAGCCCCTCGGACGAAGGCACGCCCGGCCTTCACAGGCCTAGCAGGCCTTCCTCACAATGGCTGAGGAGAACCATGCTCTTCGCCGTCCTGGCCCAGCCTTCTCTCCTGGCTCGCGCTTCCCACTCTCGGCGTCGAAGCGGGCTGCGCAGGCGTAGAACTCACTTTCGCGTATGCTTCCAAGTAGAGCGCGCGCGAACGTGAGCTCTGCGCCTGCGCAGACGACGGCCGCAGGCTACTTCCTCCCTTCCGCTCCCTCTGGTTCAGAAAGAGGGAGAGAAGAGCGCGTGCTGGATCCCGTGGCCAGGCTTTTGTCAAAGAGAAGCCGGTCGGTTCCAAGCTGGAACGCTGGTGGAATATCATCATAATCGCCACAGAATGGTAAGACTCAGGGCCCTTCCAGACAGCCTCTATATCCCAGTATCTGATGTAAACTGGGTTATATGTATTGTCAAAGGCTTTCATGGTCGGAATCACTGGGTTGTTGTAGGTTTTTTCGGGCTATATGGCCATGTTCTAGAGGCATTCTCTCCTGACATTTCGCCTGCATCTATGGCAAGCATCCTCAGAGGCAGTGAGGTCTGTTGGAACTAGGAAAAGGGGTTTATATGATCAAGGGTCTGGAGAACAAGCCCTATGAGGAGCGGCTTAGGGAACTGGGCATGTTTAGCCTGAAGAAGAGAAGGCTGAGAGGGGATATGATAGCCATGTATAAATATGTGAGAGGAAGCCACAGGGAGGAGGGAGCAAGCTTGTTTTCTGCTTCCTTGGAGACTAGGACGCGGAACAATGGCTTCAAACTACAAGAGAGGAGATTCCATCTGAACATTAGGAAGAACTTCTGACTGTGAGAGCCGTTCAGCAGTGGAACTCTCTGCCCCGGAGTGTGGTGGAGGCTCCTTCTTTGGAAGCTTTTAAGCAGAGGCTGGATGGCCATCTGTCAGGGGTGATTTGAATGCAATATTCCTGCTTCTTGGCAGGGGGTTGGACTGGATGGCCCATGAGGTCTCTTCCAACTCTTTGATTCTATGATTCTATGATTGCTGTTATTCCATGGTTCTAAATGGTTCTAAAGTAGTTACAAAACTAAAGTTCTGGTGGTGAAAATTTCAGAACTCTAACAAAACCTTCAAAATTTAATTATTATTTCATTATTGGCAATTTTTATGACAAAACCAATTAGGAATTGCCATTTCTAATGAAATTTTGAAAGTTTTGTTAGATTTCTGAAATTTTCACCACCAGAACTTTAGTTTTGTAAGTACTTTAGAACCATTTAGAACCATGGATTGCCCAAGCCTAGTTTATATATCTGTGGAATGACCAGGGTGGGACAAAGGACTCTTGTCTGCTGGAGCTAGGTGTGAATGTTTCAACTGACCACCTTGATTAGCATATAATGGCCTGACAGTGCCTAGAGCAGTGTTTCTCAACCTTGGGGTCGGGACCCCTGGGGGGATCATGAGGGGGTATCAGAGAGGTCAACAAAGATCATCCGAAAACACAGTATTTTCTGTTGGTCATAGGGGTACCGTGTGGGAAGTTTTGCCTAATTCTATCATTGGTGGGGATCAGAATGATCTTTTATTGTGGGTGAACTATAAATCCCAGCAACTACAACTCCCAAATGCCAAGGTCTATTTTACCCAAACTCCACCAGAGTCCACATTTGGACATATTGAGTGTTCTAGCCAAGTTTGGTCCAGATTGATCATTGTTTGAGTCCACAGTGCTCTCTGAATTTATGTGAACTGCAACTCCCAAACTCAAGGCCAATGTCCACCAAGCCATTCTAGCATTTTCTGTTGGTCATGGGATTTCTGTGTGGCCAGGTCTGATTCAATTCCATCGTTGGTGGAGTTCAGAAAGCTCTTTGATTGTAAGTGAACTATAAATCCCAGCAACTACAGCTCCTCCAACCCCACCAGTATTCAAATTTGGGCGTATTGGGTATTTGTGCCAAATTTGGTCCAGTGAATGAAAATCCATCCTGCTTATCAGATATTTACATTACGATTCATAACAGTAGCGAAATCACAGTTATGAAGTAGCAACAAAAATAATGTTATGGTTGGGGGTCACCACAACATAAGGAACTGTATTAAGGGGTCGTGACATTAGGTAGGCTGAGAACCACTAGCCTAGAGCAAACTTTTGTTGAGAGGTGATTAGATGTCCTTGTTTGTTTCCTCTCTGTTATTATTATCATTATTATACTTTATTTGTACCCCGCTAGCATCTCCCGAAGGACTCGATGCGGCTTACAAAGGCCAAGGCCTCAACACAACAACAGACAATAACAATACAATGCAAAGCAAATTAAAAACATAAGCAATAACAAAAACAAAACATTACACTATTACGCAATAAAACCAGGGCCGGGCCAATGAAGGGTACAGGTTAAAAAGTGCTGGGTGTAAGACATGATATGTTGGATTTCTGGGCAAGTGCAATGTGCAGAGAGTCTTAAACTCTAATAAAGTGCTTCTGGGACGTAGTGCTGGAGATTATCCTATTCTGGAAAGGCACATCGGAATACCCAGGTCTTCAAGTTCTTCCTAAAGACTGCCAGCGTGGGTGCTAGTCTAATGTCTTTGGGGAGGGTGTTCCAAAGTCGGGGGGCAACCACAGAGAAGGCCCTGTCCCTCGTCCCCACCAACGAGCCTGCGACGCAGGTGGGATCGCGAGCAGGGCCTCTCCGGATGAACGAGGAGCGTGGGTTCAGGAGATGCGGTCACAAAGGTCCCAAACCGTTTAGGGCTTTGTAGGTAAGCACCTGCACCTTGAATTGGGACCGAAGGTAAACGGCAGCCAATGGAGCTCCTTAAACAGGAGGGTTGACCTCTCTCTGTAAGGAGCGCCAGTTAACATCCTGTTGTTGTGCTGTTGTAATTTTAGAGTTTTTTTTAATACTGGTAGCCAGATTTTGTTCATTTTCATAGTTTTCTCCTTTCTGTTGAAATTGTCCACATGCTTGTGTATTGTGTATTTGTGGATTATATGTATTCACACTTCCAGATAATTTGGGATAAACAAAATCAAGGATCATCAGATCCTGCTTTAAGGGATCCTGGCCAGTTGCAACTTGGGTTACTTCTGCAATCCAGGTCCCTTCTGCACAGGCATCTATCTATCTATCTTCTATCTATATAAATAAAAATGTAATGTTCATTAGGGGGATTAACATAACTCAAAAACCACTGCACCAATTGACACCAAATTTGGACACAATTCGCCCAACAACCCAATGTATGTCCTTCATTAAAAAAAATGATTTTGTCATTTGGGAGTTGTAGTCGCTGGGATTTATGGGATTCGCGTATAATCAAAGAGCATTCTGAACCCCACCAACAATGGAATTGAACCAAACTTGGCACACAGTTCTCCCATGACCAACAGAAAATACTAGATGGGTTTGCTGGGCAGTGTCCTTTGGTTTTGGAGTTGTGGTTCACCTACATCCAGAGAGAACTGTGGACTCAAAACAATGATGGATCTGGACCAAACTCTACACAAATACTCAATATGCCCAAATGTGAACACTTCTGGAGTTTGGGGGAAATAGAATCTTGGCATCTGGAAGTTGTAGTTGCTGGGATTTATATTTCACCTACAATCACAGAGGATTCTGAAACCCACCAACGATAGAATTGGGCCAAACCTCCCACACAGAATCCCCAATGCTAATCAAGCTTGCCAATTGCAATATTTACACTTGCTTCAAACAGACAAGGGTTCCTTCTCCTACCCTGGACATCCCACAGCTATATATACACTCCACTTGCCTCATTTCTAACAGACCTCTGAACAAACCTCTGAGGATCCTAGCCACTGATGTAGGTGAAATGTCAGGAGAGAATGCTACTGGAACATGGCCATACAACCCAAAAAGCTCACAGCAACCCAGGGGTATTATTGTTACTCAGTGTCTTTTTCATTTCTTATATTAAACCTACTCTCTAAGACAGCAAAGAACATTTTGAATATGTTTCTGTTAATACAAATATTCTTTATATTTATTTATCTAAATATATTTATCTCGACTAATTAGAATGTTTGTTGACGTGCAATGACATCATGGCAAGTCAGGCATTTTCCACCATAAATAACCTCTTAATACACTTAACAAATGGATTGACTTGATAAACAAAGCCACAGCTTTCAGTTTGCAAGATCTGAGAAAGGATGTTGATGCGACAGGTCTTAGCATTCTCCCATTCACTGTCAGATGAAGCCACCTTGGCAAACTAAACAAAATATTACAATACGAATTAGTATATGTCTTGGTAAACTGGATTGAGCTCTGCTTTGCTACAAGACTTGTTTAATCATAATTTCTTTAAATATATTAACTATATTAAAGCAATTCTCAGTATTTATAGACAGCTACAAAAGGGAGTTAAATAGAAGTCATTTGTGCTTACAACAGCCCAGAGTGGCAAAGATTTCTAATTAGAAAGGAATTCAAGGGTGAAATGGCACACATGATTTATAACTTCTGTCAGTCCATTCATTTCTCCTCCTCAGCCACCTATATTAAGGATAAATACCACCAGCTTAGGACTAATTGGAAGAAGTGTAATACTGTACATATACAGATATACATATGGCAACACATTCAAGAGTTGATGTATTTGCACTGTTTTTGTAGGAATTTAATTCACAAGGATTCCATACCACAATTCAAATTGGTACCAGTATTTTTACAGTATTTTTATTCTAAAGCCTTTGACTGTGTGGATCATAATAAATTGTGGCAAGTTCTTGGTGGGATGGGCATACCAAGCCACCTTGTCTGTCTCCTGAGAAATCTGTACAAGGACCAAGTAGCAACAGTAAGAACTGACCATGGAACAACAGACTGGTTCAAGATTGGGAAAGGCGTACGGCAAGGCTGCATACTCTCACCCAACCTTTTTAACTTGTATGCAGAACACATCATGCGATGTGCAGGGCTGGATGAATGCAAAGCTGGGGTGAAAATTGCTGGAAGAAACATTAACAACCTCAGATATGCAGATGACACCACTCTGATGGCCGAAAGCGAGGAGGAGCTGTGGAGCCTTCTAATCAAGGTGAAAGAAGAAAGCGCAAAAGCCGG